AGCAGTTAATTATTTTTATTATTATTATTATTATTATTATTATTATTATTATCATCATTATTATTAGTATTATTGTTAGTGAAGTGAGTCCACTTGGTACTGCGGCTACTACTGGCCTATAGTACCAGCACCAGATGATAGGTGAGGGTGATTGTGGAGCAATTGGTGGAGTGAAGATTGGCAAGGGAAACAGAAGTACTAGGAGAAAACCTGCCCCGCGCCACTTTGTCCACCACAAATCCCACATGATCAGACCCCGAGCTCGAACCAGGGCCTCCGAGGAGGGAAGCCAGTGACTAAGAGGCTGAGCTATGGCGCGGCCCTAGCCAAGTTAATACACAGCATTTAACACTAAAATATGAGAAATATTCGAAAACCTGCTGCAAATCGATGAATTTGAAGTTTTCTAAGCGGCTGTTATGAAGAGTTCTATCTTCTGGGTTATAATACCCTGTAGTCCGTTGGAAGTCAACTGACGTGGCAGAGGAATACATGGCCGCCATCTTAGGGGTCGAAGAGTAAGTCAAGCAAGAAATCAGCGTGAAAGCAGGTGGAAAGCAGGAAGCACCTTTATACTGACGACGACTGTTCAAGTTCCATATTAAGAGAAATTTCGTAATTAATTATATTTAAAAAGTATTGTCTCACATGTTGTAAAGAACACTCCTTCGTTGGACGCAAATCCCACCATCCACGGCACGAGTTCAAGGTCACCACTGAGAAGTATCTTCATGGGGTGATCACTCATGAATACTTCATCTCCTTCTCCCACCTGCTCTTCAATAACAGGAGTGAACGTGATAGGGGACATTCTCTTGGCCTGAAAATTGAAGCGGTTCATCAGCATCTGATTAACGCGAGGTCAAACCTGATTGTCTCCCGGCTACCCATGTTTAACGCAGCGCCAGGAGAGCTCCTTGGATACTAAATGGAGGCGTGCGGTTAGCTTCACGCTTCGATTGCCTTTACTCCAGAGATAATACAACAGGAATTTCTCTTGGCTCTAAAGAATTCTGAACAGGTCTGTGAAAAATAAATCGAAACCCCTGAGCAAGAACTTAGTATTAGGCTTCGAGTTAATATTATGATTCTTGTAAAAATACTTTCGCAATTTATTAAAGTGAAGTACATGTACCCTGCCCATCACAGAGGGTAGGTCGAGGAGGCATGACGGTTTTGCGTTCGATACTCTGAGAGCCCTGACAATAAGTGAAACAATTCAAGAATATTTAACATAAAGATTGCAGTATAGTATCCGTGCTATATATGTTCAATATGGCCTCCGTGACATTGGATACATTGCCCTATTCGCTATCTCAAATTCTGCATAACTCTCTGCAATAAAGCATCATTAATTCGTCCAGTTCCCTCCGTAATTCGGTCCTTCAGTTCGTGGGTGAATTGGGGGCGTGTAGTGCGCACGTAGACTTGCGATTCTCCTGGCAGGAAAAGCCTGAGGCTCTCAAGTCCGGTGAACGTGATGGCCATTGAGTGTCTCCAAATTGTGAAGTTAAGCGAACTGAAAACATTCCTCTAAGAAGAGTCGTGCTTATACCTTGCCGTGTGGACCGTTGCACCATCCTGTTTAAACCCTCCAAGGAAATAAGACCCGATCACACCAAAGGCGTGAGGTTTCTCGTGGATCTGCATAGGATTAACACCGCCCTGGTTCCTGAAATTCTGTTTGCTTATGTAACCAGAGACTGGGCCTCGTCTGGCATGGTCAAAGCATCCAAAACCCCTTCATCAATATCGAAAAGGTCCATAAACTGTCTAAAAGTATCCACACGGCAAGGTTCACACTGTTCGTTCAGTTCGTGAGTTATGTGGTGTATTTGAATGTCTCTATTTATAATCACTCAAGAACGTTAATCTGTGTTACCTGACCGTTAAATTAAGAGGTAAAGTTTTCAGAGCCTTCTCTTATCAATATTCAGTTAGAGAATTCAGTCTGTGCCAATGTCACAGAATCTGATGCGGAACTTACTGGAATCAAAAGTTCTGCGCCGTATAACTTGTATGCGTCTTGTTTCCTGAGGCAGGAGATCAGCTCAGAGCTCGACTGAACCGGACAGTTAAACACATCTGCCACTTGTTCTGCCACTAACTTCGGGCTTCCTGGAGGTGTAAGTGCCCAGGGGCTTAAAACAATGCCGCTCTGGGAGATAGCACGATGGAATAAACCTGTAAATCAATACATGATGATTGCATTTAGAATAACTGCCTTAAATTAAAGTCAAAATATCCCATAACTCTGAATATTTCCGAGTGTTGGATTCGCTTTAGGTTGACAGGGGAGTGATCAGCTTTCTGACGCCTGTAGGTAGCTGCATTCTACAAGGTGTGTCCCAAAAGTCATGAAATATATATATATTTAAATTTATTGATGATATCGGTCATCATCATCAGTAATCTGTCAAGACGACAGGTCCACAGTCTCTTTCAAAACAATTCCTCCACTTAATGCGATCTAGAGCTTTCTCCTTCAAATGACAGTATCCTCTTCTGTCCCCAAGGTCATCCAGCATCTTCTTACGTCTTCTTCCTCGTCTTCTTGTCACTTCTATCCGCCCATCTATCTTTCCTTCGATAGCTTCT